AGCTTTTACTAATCATGTAGCATTAATTTAACAGTAACCAACCACACCCATTAATGCTATAAACTACACCATTCGTTCCTTCCCCAAAGAACTGAGAAAGAATGGTGGCGGGGAGCTACGAGCAGGATGGTTGCAGCTGCTGCTAACCGCCGGTGCAGTTCAAATTCCAGCCAAAACAACCGCCGCCTCCCCCCTAATTTCCTGTGTTTAAAAGTAGTAGAGCCTCTGATATCACTGCCCCAGTGTAAGGACATCAAATCAAAGGCCTGGCCTCCAGCGTAATTGAGCACTGACGGCAGTGCCTCCTCCGTGTGCACAGCTCTCCCCTTCCTCACGGTTCTAAGCCGAATCAGCCTTCCCGCCTCGTTTCAGCTCAGTGCCAAACATTATTAAGAATCAAGGGAATTACGTGGAGGACAGTTCTCCACAAAATTCCCAATTTATTTTTCCTCTTCTTGCTCCTGGGTTTAACTTTCTTGACCGATGCTAGCACGTTTAAAGCAAGTCCCGATGTCGGATAAGAAGGACAATTTGTCAATGGAGTGAACCACAGCCCTCCTGTTACCATCACCCTCCTACCCCACTAGTGAGGACGACTTGGACCCCTTTTTCTGTGTCCTGGGATGCTGAACATTGTCTAAGACAGTCCAGGTGGTCTGGTCAAGGCCTGGGAAGGCTCTGGCCTGCAGAATGCAGGAGGTGACCCAGAGCACAAGTCACACACCAACTAGACATGGGCCATATTTCAGCCATCAGACAGGTCTCACTGGGTGTGTACAGTGTTAAAGTATTTTAATTAACTGTCACTTTTAAAAATTGAAAGACATTACGTAAGAACCTGGATTTGGGGGGTGGTGGTGAAAAGTTTAAGATCCTGTAACACCTGGCCCACATGTCCATAAGGCAACCCTCAGCTGGGGCTGCTGCACTCTTTGATTGAGGTTTTGAGTACTCTCCGGGCCTCACCACATATCAAGCACAGCAGCTTTCTTTGCTTTATCAGCCTGGTTGGTACTTTTGGACATTTGAGTCCATGACACTCAACATGGTAGATCAGTGTGAGTTAGGGACTCCTAATTCTACAGTGTAGGTTAGGGACCTGAGATTCAGAGCATGCGTTAGGGACCTCTGATCTACAGTGTGAGTTAGGGGCCTTGATTAGAGTTCTACAGGTTGGAAGCCAGGCCATGTTTTTGGAATAAATACAATGATCTTCTTGCTGGGGATTGTTTAAACCAGCAATGACTTATCTCTGGGGACAACTTCATTTGAAACGATCTTTTTTAGGGCTCGGCCACCAACAGACAGGAACATCTCTGATGTTTGAGTGTTTACTTTGTGCCAGGTACTGGGCTCATGTTTTACAGTTACTATCAAAGCAAGTCTGTGAAGTTAATGCAATTATTTATCCACGTCTCAGAGAGGTACAGAACTTGTTTCAGATCACATGCCTAGTAAGTGTCATAACCAGGATTTGAACCCAGGCGATTTGCTTCTAGAGCCTCGTGCTCCTCCTGAGAGTAGTGCATTCCCTCTCTAGACAGGGGGGACCTTATCTGACAAAGCACTCGCCACACGCCAGATTCCTTCTAGGAACAAACATTAATTTATTTAACCCTCCTAACACTCTAAGGTAGATTCTATTCTTATTCTCATTTTGCAGATGAGGAAACTGAGGCACATGGATGCAAAAGTACCTTGCCAGGCTAGTCCGTGGCAGAGCTGGGCGTTGGAGCCAGACAGTCTGGTCCTAGAGTCTATTCTCTAAACCCCTCCCCCATGAGCACCCTGGACCTCTGTTCGTTGAATAGGCAAATGTTACATCCAATTTTTCTTTCAGTTAGTATTTAATAAGTCTTTCTTAAGCACTTACCATAATTGTCATGTCTGTGCTGAGCGCTGTTTATCCCAGGACACAGACCTCCAGGTAGGGGAACATTCACACCTGAGGCAGTTAAATAATTTACGTAAAGCACCCCGCCCAAAACAAACGTGATCTTTACATATGTTTGTTAGGATATGTTTATTAGCGCCTGTTTGAAAGCATTAAATGCCTTTAAGTGTGGGCTGCTGCACTGCCCCCTCTCTGGGAAAGTGATAAGATCGCAACAGGCTGCCTCAGTGCTCTGAACCCTGACCCGGGCTCCAGGAGAGGGCACGCTCCCCAGCCCTGAGTTCTTGATTTCTGGGGGTTCCTTATAAGCAGTGCAGCGGAGCAGACTGGGTGCGACAGGACAGGGCCCAACAGAGACTTCAAACAAGTCAGCGGAGAAGCCAGGCAAGCAGGGCCCCGAGGCCCTCCCAGAGCTCGTTCTTTGCGTGTGCCACAGTCCTCTCCAAATTCTCCCCAGGTTTCAGTCCAAGGTGGAGCTAATCCCGCCCAATGTAGCTCCACCGCTCATTACTTTTTACCTCATTTGCAATGCGGTATGTGTGTGTTTTTAATATGTTTTTATTGATTTCAGAGAGAGGAAGGGAGAGGAAGAGAGAGAAACATCAATGATGAGAGAGTCATTGATTGGCTGCCTCCTGCACGCCCCCTACTAGGGATCGAGCCCGCAACCTGACCAGAAATCGAACCCAGACCTCCTGGTTCATGCGTCGACGCTCAACTACTGAGCCATGCTGGCCGGACTGTAATGTGGTTTTTTTCATTATAATATCATGAACTTGAGGAACATAAAGTGGGGCCTAAAGCTAGAGCCTCCTGAAGTGAGTATGACCTTTAACACTACCTGCTTGGATTCTCGCTAGGCTCTTGACCACCTTCACCTTTGTGATCAGGAGAATAAGAATTCCACACACTGCCTGTGTGTTGTTTCCCTGTGTGTCTCTATCGAGGCCTAGATAACCTGTACAGTTCCTGAATTTGCTGACCTCACTTTATTTCCACCAGCTAACCTTGATAGCTTTCCCGCCTTCCTGCAATCATTTCACTTCTCAGTCTCCTTATGAATAGTGTTTCCAGCTTAACACAATGACCTGGGAAAATGGTAGGCACAGAAAGAGAAATAGGGAGGTCCCTTGTCCTTAAGGAATTAGCAGTCTAACAGCAGAGACAGACCTATAAACAAGTAGCTACCATGCAGCCTGAGAAGGGAAGAGGTCGAGCACACAGCACAGAGGAGGGATTGGCTCGGCTCGGGGAGCAGGGAAGAAACGAAGGCCTGGCGTCACGAAGCAGCCGGCCAGCATCGGGAGCCAGCGGCTCAGGCCTGCGGAAGCGAGACGCGCGAGAAGGGTAAGAGCGAAGGCTGACAAGCAGGCAGCGGCCAGACGATGAACAGCCTTTCGTGTCGTGCGAAAGCACTTCCACTGTCTGCAGTAAGCCACGAGATCCATTCAAAACTGAAATTTTCTTTAAAACTTTGTAGGATTCATATATAGCTCTAAAAATAAGTTCAGGTTATGTTTGATTCCTAATCTCAACAGTTTATTCTCCTTTATAGTTTTTCAGTTCCTTTGTTTGGACATCAGGGCTGGTAGTTAAAATACTGAAAAGCGGTAAAAGCAAATGACTCACAGGGCGATTGCCACACACCAGGCAGAACTGGGTCATTTCACAATGAAATCCAACTGTTTCTACAAAGTCCGGGATTGTTCTCTTTTTATTCCCATTCCTGATGATGAAGAAAACACATTAGGAAGAGATTAGTTTAAATCCAAGTGAGGATGTAACTTTGAGGAAATGGATTCACCCTGGTCTGTGTAACTTTCCTATTGAGTGCCCTGCTTTCCTTTGAGAAGCTGCCGTGACTGCCACCGGTGTGGTTTTCTGTTCCAGGCGTGGATGTTAATGGAGGAGGAGGAGGGGATTTCCTCTGACCCTCTCCTTGCCTGCTCCCTAACCTCCTTCCTGTGCCCAGGCCATGAGCCGCAGTCCTTTGCTGGATGCACTGACCACACTGACAGTGCTGCCCAGAGCTGGAATTAATCTCACGGGTTTTGTTACTCAAGCGATACTCACACGGCAGGGCTATTGGTAGATGTTAATTCTTGATTGTTTCCCAGAAAATGAGAAATACTGTTACAGAAAGCTGTTTTTTAAATTAATACTGCTGGAACACTCAGCACATTTTCCCAAGTAACACACCCTACTCCTTTTACTAAAAACCATACAGATGGCATCACTGTATAGTTTCTGCAGATTTACTCTGCCTCAGAGGGATGGCTGACTTGCATATCAATGTTGCATTTCAATTTCCTATACATTCAGAATTCTTACTTATTAAAAAGAACTTCTGGATACCTTTACTTTTTCAATTCCTTTACTCTAACATAGATATAAGAGCCATAAGAAATCATATTTTTAGCTTCCCAGAGAAGCAAAACATGGTGGCTTAGCCCTGGCCGGGTGGCTCAGTTGGCTGGAGCATCATCCTATACAAACCGAAACGCTGCAGGTTCGACTACCGGTCAGGGTGCACACGGAAGGCAACTATCGATGATTCTCTCTCATGCTGATATTTCTCTCTCTCTCCCTCCCTTCCTCTCTCTAAAATCAATAAAAACATATCCTCGAGTGAGGATTAAAAAAACAAAAAACACAGTGGTTTAGAAGTGTAATTGGAAATTGTAATTCTTGTTTAACAAATACCACTTCTCCCATTTTTAATTTAGATTTGTATGAATTTTATTCTTAAGAAATTATGCATCTCATCTTGTTTAGAACCATAAAAACAATTGGCTCTTCAACTTAATATTGTTTCTCTTGTGTATGTCTTCAATATCTATTAATGGAAATATAGTCAAATGAAATCCTAAGAAATAAAGCTGCCTTAATTGGGGAAAAAAAATCATATAAGGCATTATATTTTTACTTTAAGACATATTGGTAACATTATGTATCTACCAGCTCACAAGGTTACTGTTGCTATTTTCTGAAATTAATTTAGAAAAATGTATGTTTCCTAGTTATTAGTATTATCACACATAGATAGAAATAATGTGTAATTCCATTTTATGAATGTTCAAATTTCTCTTTGCATTTGATATTTCAGCTTCACCAAACCCAGAAGTCATCAAGATAAATTCAATCCCAGATATAGTAACAAAAGTGGAAGATTACTATCTTAAAGGATATATTGTTGGGGCAATTCATCCTGTCATACAACCTGTGTGGCAGCGAAAACACCTACCTGCAAGTTACCTATACAGGGTGGTGCTATCACGCCTGAAATTAAGGTAAGCCTGCTGCCCAAGAAAACAGTCATACTAAGGAGCTGCTGAATGGCAGTTTTCTTTGGCTAAAAGAACAGAAAGTTTGAACAAAGTGATAGAAATAAAGGATAAGCCAGGGTTTTGGTTTAAGGCACATTTCCCACTGTTTGAACCGGATTGTGGGAAGGAAACTTACGTTTCCTCCTTAACACTCCTCTTTGATTTTGGCCCCTTGCAGATAAGCAGGTCCTAGGTGAGGATGTCAGTGAACAAAGGGAAAGGGAAACAGACTGGAGAAGCACATGGGAGCTCCTGCAGCAATTTCAGCAGATGAGGGCCCGGCTGATAGCTCTGAGTCCTCGAGGGGCTAAAAGAGCTGGCTGGACTGAAGTCCACTTTCTCCAAGCATTTTTTTTTAACTGTCCTATTTTGTTTTATTCATAGTGACAACAGAAACTATCTCTACCTTCTAAAATTTTTACTTCTAAAAGGCCTACATGCCTAGTTCTCACAAATTGGATAGGCCTCTTACCAGCTTTTTTCAAAAAATAGGATGTAAAAGCTGTCTACTTTAGTTTACTTTTCAAAACTTTTTGAAATAGCTACTTTCCCAAACAATACTGCAACCATTTTTGCCAGGTTAGCTTGTAAGTTTGAAAGTTTTCAAATTCTGTTGCTCCTTCTAATGATGAATAAAAATCACCAGACCGGTTTTCTTTGACTAACACATTGTGGTTTTTTTAAACCACTTCAAGTATATCAAAACCATTTCAAAGACCGGGGTAAAAACTGTGTTTTCTCTTTATCGTAATGGGCTACTAATCGGCCACTTGAACTATAAAAGGGGCTAAGCAGAGAAGCAAAAAGCTAAATAAGAAGAAAAGAGAGGAACCAGGAACACTGAAGAAAAAACTGTTCTGAAAAACCTCTGGGTGTGCTTTTAAGGGCCACTGTCTTCACCGCGTAACTGCGCCCTTAGCCGCGTCTGAGAGGGAGCGTGCGGCTCATCAGACTGGCCTAGTTCTGGCATTCCCAAGTACACGTGCCATTTATCACACACTAGTAACACGTTTCCTAATTACAAGCTTACAAACCATGTAGACATTGTTTTTTCTCGTTTAGCGTTACTGAAAATAGACTTAGTAGTTCCCTGACAAGGCTAGGAGCAAGTAAGGAGTAAAGGTGAGAAAAGGGAAAAATACAGGACACCATTGATCTGCATTTTAATAAGATTTCTACTTGTGCTTTTGTTCAATAATGAGGTATGACAGTCATCTAAAATCATTTCTCATAACTTTTGTTAAAACGACATGAAATTTTTCTTCTATATTAAATTAGAAATTAATTTAATAGAGATTTAAATTAAGGAAGGTTAAATTAATAAAAGTGACTGTTTTTCTGGTATTTTTGCACAAGAACATAACCACTAGGCTTGAAATAAAACAAAAAAATTATTGCCTTATTTGTGAGTCGCTCACTCATTTCATGTGAGCCTATTAGCTTAACATCAGCACATGGCTTCCAACCATGAACATGTTCTCTGTTGCAGCCCGAAGCATTCAGCAGCACCCAGCGGACAAAGACGCCCACGACTTGTGATTGAGGAATGTCCTCTAACTTATGAGACACAAACAAATGACGTAGCAAAAGAGCTGATAGAAAAGGTACTAAATGTGTACATTTTTCATGGGGTATTGAGAAATATTTGGTATTTCTTCTTCGTCAACTTCCTTTCTTGTTTTAAAAAGAGCAAGGAAATAATAGGAGCCATTCCACCAGAATCTAAAACATATGGAAGCACATATATCAAACTGTACCAAGTTAAAAGCAGAAATATAGGCCAAGAAAATGGAATGGAAATGCCAGAAATAAATTTACACACATAATAAACCCAATGAAATAAAAGGGGGGAGCAATCATTACTTCATAAGTGCCGTTGGGAAAGTGGGCAACTGTTCTGTAGGAAAGACATGCCACTCATTTCAATGAGATAAAGAGATAATATTTTAGCCCGGCCGGCATGGCTCAGCGGTTGAGCATGGACCTAGGATCCAGGAGACTGTGGTTCGATTCCTGGCCGGGGCACATGCTGGGATTCTGGGCTCGATCCCCAGTAGGGGCGAGCAGAAGGCAGCCGATCAATGACTCTCATCATTGATGTTTCTCTCTCTCTCCCCCCTCCCTGCTTCTCTCTGAAATCAATAAAAACATATTAAAATATATAACATAATTGAAACTTAAATGAAAAGTTGAATACCAAATGTATATTAACATCAAGAAAAAATTTTACATTTATAAGTATTCTAAATTGATGAAATTTATTCTGAAGTTTTCTTTTTAGTTGCACTGACTAAAAAGAAACTTATAAGGTTTTAGCTTTTATCTAAATGAATGCAACCAAAGGCTTAAGGCATTTCCTTTCAAGGCAGAAACTGTGGAACTTGCTGTTTCTATTATTGCTCCTAAACTGTCAATGACTGTATGTGTAAGATTACCTGTGGTTTATGCAGAGCCAGTTATAGCTGTTAATGATATTTCCTATTTCGGTATAAAGTCACCATTCAATAAGGTTTTTCAGGAACAGCCTTTGAGACTACATTTTTATAAACAAGGTACACATATTGTCTACTACTACTATTCTGGGAAATTTCCTTTTTTTTTTTTTTTTTTTGTCTGGGAATGAATCCACTCCAGAAAATTTCTTTTGAAAACAAAAATGTAACTACTAATTTAGTCTTAATAGATCACCATCAGAGCTCTTGTTTTGCATTTCACTTCCTGGAGACGGTTAAAGATCTATTTAAACAGGAAAGTACTGTTATTTCAGCAATTAGAGTAAAGGGGTTATTTCATAAAGAGAAAAACTTCAGGAAACACAGCGCACAAAATATCTGAACGTTGCCCCATGTATGAACAAGAGCAATAGATGAACGCCAACTGTTACTTTTGAACGGCTGCCTTATATAAAGAGCTGATTGTTAGCTAGATTTTCAGTCATTTTAACATTGTATCAATGTTTGCTCTATTTTTAAAACTAGGTTTACGAGTGTTTTCCCCCCGGGATTTTTAAATAAAAATAACATTGGAAAATATCAATCTTCTAACTTAAAAAATGGAAAAGACTAATTAATATAGTCTGTTTGTAACCAGACTTTTCCAGATAAAACTTTCCACTAATAGAAAAGGCTTCTGCACCTTTTCACCCGAATCAACTAATAAGGCCCGGAGAGAGCCCTGGCGGTGCCTGTGTTTGTTTCCGTCTGCAGAGTGCTTCCTCGCCGCCTCCCTCCCTCCCTCTCCCAGGACGCCTGGTGGGAAGGACAGTCTGTGATTGTTTTTAAGGCTCCATGCACTGTTACAACGCCAGTGTTAACTCAGAGGAGTGAATAAATGATACTGTGTCCGCACAGGCCTCTGTCCCCAGCAGTGCTCCCCTCCTCAGCGGCGGCGGCAACCGCAGTTACCCCTTTGGCTGGACCCGCTCTCTGGCTCTGCCCCCCCCCTGCCCTTTTCACTCCATTCCGTTTCTGACTGCAGAGGGTTTTGCTTGCACCCTCCGTCATCACTTACTCTCCCCTCGCAGGTGGCATCTAAAACATTTGTTTTTAACAGTGCCCACGTAAAAGACGTCGCTCTTTAACTTATTGAACAAGTACTTACAGGGCACCTGTAGGTACAAAACATCACCCTGCAGAGGTGAGTAAGACACCGTCCTGCCCTCAAGATAACTGTCAGTGTAGCCGGG